ATAATGATATATATATCAATTCCCAAAATAAATTGTATAAATAAATAAAATACAATTGTAATAAAAAAATTTTTTTAGTAATTGAGATCATTATACTCCTTTATTTAAAATTGCTACAGCATAACTTCTAACCAATAGGTCTATAAATCTTTTGCTTATTGATATACATTAATCAGTAATAGGACTAAGGGTTATAAATAGGTGATACTTAATTGCCGTATTTAATAATTTATTAAGAATCAAATTTTTTTAATAAATCACAGCGTATGATATTTAATTTCTAAGTCTTTAATCCCATCACTACGTAGCATTAATGACTTTTTAAATAGTAACATTGAAGATATAAATTTGAAAAGATGCTAATACTACGTTTATAATAGAATACTGAAAAATCTTAAAATAATTTTGACTAAATATATTTTAATTTTAAGATATATTCATGTTCTATATTTGAAAATTCCCTAAAAATAATCATATTAGTAGTATAATTATTGAAATACTAATCCAACATTATTCATATTTTTAGCATAATTATATGTTTCTATAATAGTATTAAATAGATTCATTAAAATTCTCAAAGCGTATCTATAGTTTCTATATTTATATTGACAAAAATCACTTAAACATGCTAGTCATATTCAAAAACGCAAAATCCAAGACTAATTTTGATTAGCATAATAATATATTTATTCGATAATACTGCAAATATATCCATACTTTCCATACTTATATTAACAAGAAAATTCTCTAAAGCTATCTATATTCGAAGTATAATCACTGAAGTACTAATCTAAAAAATATATATATATATTCGTATTTTTAGCATAATTATATGTTTCTATAATAGTATTAAATAAATTCATTAAAATTCTCAAAACATATCTATAGTTTCCATATTTATATCGACAAAAATTACTTAAACGTGCTGGTCATATTCAAAAGCGCAAAATCCAAGACTAATCCTGATTAGTATAATAATATGTTTAATTGATAATACTGCAAATATATCCATACTTTTTATATTTATATTGACAAGAAAATTCTCTGAAGCTATCCATATTCAAAGTATAATCACTGAAGTACTAATCCAAAAAAAGTATATATATATTCGTATTTTTAGTATAATTATATGTTTCTATAATAGTATTGAATAGATTTATCAAAATTCTTAAAACGTATCTATACTTACTATATTTATATCGACAAAAATTACTTAAACGTGTTGGTTATATTCAAAAGCGCAAAATTCAAGACTAATCCTAAACAGATCACCAAGTTATCATTGTTAGTATTTAAATACGTTTATTTTAGAATATTGTAAATATGTCTATACTTTTTATAAGAAAATTCCCTGAAGCTATCCATATTCAAAGTATAATCACTGAAGTACTAATCCAAAAAAAATATATATATTTTTGTATTTTTAACATAATTATACGTTTCTATAATAGTATTGAATAAATTCATTAAAATTCTCAAAACATATCTATACTTACCATATTTATATTGACAAAAATCACTTAAATGTGCTGGTTGTATTCAAAAGCGCAAAATCCAAGACTAATTCTAAACAGACTACCAAGTTATCATTATTAGCATTTAAATACGTTTATTTGAGAATATCGTAGATATGTCCATACTTTCTATATTTATATTAACAAGGATAATTTAAATAATATACAGCTGTATTTGAAAGTTAAATTCTGGAAAAAAACAAATTAATATAGATATACATTTAACAATAGATTTTAATTCATATTTTTTACTTTTAAACATAATTAAATATTAGACAATGTTGTATAAACATATGCTCTAAAAAGATATAAAAATTAATAATTTTATCTTTAAAAATCATTTTAACAAAATAAAATACTAAAAAAACAATTAAATAAAATAAAAATTCAAACATATTTATATTTTGGTATTTGTAAGTTTTTCACCTTAAATTTGGGGTTAATCATAATTATAATTATAGACCAAATGATTAAAAGTCAGGAGACACCAGCTCAGTCCAAGCTCAAAAATACAATTACTCAATTAAATCAAGAGCTGCAGTATCTTAAAATATTAGAAAATATAGAAATGATTACAGATGGCAATAAACAAAAAAAATAAAGGATTCAAAATGAACTTACATCATCATTAAAAGCTTTGTCTAAATTAGAATACCACCAACAGTTTCAATGCAAGTATAGATCTCAACAAAAACAAAAGCTCTAGCAAATAGAGAAGCAGTTTAAAGAGGCAGATTTCAATATACAGCTTGCTAGGCCAACAATTGGTCATCCAAGTTTAAAAGAAATATAGCCAGATTTATTAGAAGCTATTGTTCAAATTGTTTCTTCAGATAGACAGGCTGATGAAAAACGAAGTTCAGAGTTAATATGATCTGTAAAAACCTTAAATCAGCTTCATGAAGTATTAGAACATATGAACTATAAACTGTCACAAACTGTGATATATTTTAGACTATTTTCAAAATGGCATAATAGTAATGAAGGAAAGAGACATGTTAAAACTGTGCTGGTAAGACTTCTAAGGTTCCAAAATATAGCAAGAAGAAGTTATGAAGATACCTGTTTTTGCGCTATCTTAATAAGAAATATAAAGGAAATGGTATCGTTATTGGGTTCTAAAAGTGTTTTGGTAATATCTCAAGACGACAAGGCACAGATACCTCTCGATTTAGCCGTAGCTAACAAACAAGATTATTATAGTTTAAAATAAAATAGTATTATTATAATAAATAAGTGCTGCCAGGGGAAAATAGTACTTCAGAATTTCAATTATATTTCATTCAGACACAATCCTTAATAAATTTGATAGATAGTGTATAGTATAAAATATTATTGAAAGTCATATTTTTCCTTGATAGCACTCAAATAAAAAATAAGCTTACTAATAGTATAGAATAATTTGCTCACATAGCACCAATCCTTATGAGGCTAGAATACCAAGTAGAGCTTCCAGATCATGATTGGGTTGTTGCTGAAAAGCATAAACTGATTCCTTCAGTTTATGCAATATTAAATATACAAGAAGGTAGATATAGACATACTAACACAGTAACATATTCAGACCCAATATTTATAAGAGTTTGTAGTGGTAAACATGATAGCAGTACCACTTACTCTCATAGTAAAGATTTTGATAACTTGATGAATGAGAGGAAATTGCACAACTACACTATAACAATAGATGAACAATCTAAGCCTGTAGTTGTGCTACTAACCGATAGTGGTCGTGATGAAAACCCTCAATATAAAAAGATAGTTCAGATGATGATTGAGCATTTTGATAAATACGATCTTGATACTATTATTGTGGCATGCTTTGCACTACACCAGAGTGTATCTAATCTAGTTAAAAGACGAATAGCACCTCTAAGTCATGATTTGGCTGGTGTCATACTTTAACATGGTATATTTTGAATACATTTAGATGCACAGTTGAGAACAAATGATGAGGAGTTAGAAAAACGTAACTTTAAAGCAGCTAGAAATATTTTAGTATTGATATGGGAAGATACGGTTATAGATAACTATTTGGTTCTCATTAAGTATATGAATCCTTCTGAGATG